CCTCCCTACCCTCTCTTTTATCTCACCCCCTCCCCCTCCCTACCCTCTCTTTTATCTCACCCCTCCCCCTCCCTACCCTCTCTTTTATCTCACCCCTCCCCCTCCCTACCCTCTCTTTTATCTCACCCCTCCCCCTCCCTACCCTCTCTTTTATCTCACCCCTTCCCCTCCCTACCCTCTCTTTTATCTCACCCCTCCCCCTCCCTACCCTCTCTTTTATCTCACCCCTTCCCCTCCCTACCCTCTCTTTTATCTCACCCCTTCCCCTCCCTACCCTCTCTTTTATCTCACCCCTTCCCCTCCCTACCCTCTCTTTTATCTCACCCCTTCCCCCTCCCTACCCTCTCTTTTATCTCACCCTCCCCCTCCCTACCCTCTCTTTATCTCACCCCTTCCCCCTCCCTACCCTCTCTTTTATCTCACCCCTTCCCCCTCCCTACCCTCTCTTTTATCTCACCCCTTCCCCTCCCTACCCTCTCTTTTATCTCACCCCTTCCCCTCCCTACCCTCTCTTTTATCTCACCCCTCCCCCTCCCTACCCTCTCTTTTATCTCACCCCTCCCCCTCCCTACCCTCTCTTTTATCTCACCCCTTCCCCCTCCCTACCCTCTCTTTTATCTCACCCCTTCCCCTCCCTACCCTCTCTTTTATCTCACCCCTTCCCCTCCCTACCCTCTCTTTTATCTCACCCCTTCCCCCTCCCTACCCTCTCTTTTATCTCACCCCTTCCCCCTCCTACCTCTCTTTTATCTCACCCCTTCCCCTCCCTACCCTCTCTTTTATCTCACCCCTTCCCCCTCCCTACCCTCTCTTTTATCTCACCCCTTCCCCCTCCCTACCCTCTCTTTTATCTCACCCCTTCCCCTCCCTACCCTCTCTTTTATCTCACCCCTTCCCTCCCTACCCTCTCTTTTATCTCACCCCTCCCCCTCCCTACCCTCTCTTTTATCTCACCCCTCCCCCTCCCTACCCTCTCTTTTATCTCACCCATCCCCCTCTGTATTCATGTATTACCCGCTCTTGAAGGAAATTCTGTAAAGAAACATTACCCCTTTATAAGCTGACCTTGTATAATAAAAAGATTTACTCGAGTCATTTAATCTCGAGCGTGCCGCCTCTGGAGCGATAAAAAGAGCACATTTAGGCTGGGACAGAAGGAAGAGAGGAGGGTGAAGAGTGAGAGAGAGCGCGAGCTGGAAGAGAGTGAATGTGAGAGATGAGAGACAGGAGACCCTTCCGCTCGCGCCTTTGTGACTACAGGAGACGCCAACGTTCTTTTAGGATTTTGTAACACCAACTAAAGCGTTCCTTTAGAATATTAAATACTTCTTAATTTTTTGGCTTTTCAGTGTAATTTTTTCTCAATGAATACTTTAGAAATTTGCATAGACATTTTACGGGAAGCAGCATGTTAAAAGATGGTGTACATAATTTTTCTGCAAGGCGCGCGTGGGCTCTTAATTATTCCTTCTTGATAAACATTTTACGTCTAATTATTGACGACCTGTCACTTGGGCTAAATTTATAATAGAAGCGTTCTTATACTTGACAATTTTTGTCGTGGCTTTTGTTTTATATTATACTATTAATAATAATAATATTATTATTATTCACTCTTGTTTTCACATAGTACATATTAAGTTGTATTTGTTATCAAGCTCTTTATTTACATACAATGATATCACAACGCGATATATCTTTGAGAAAATCTTTTGGAGTAGGGCGGTGGACTCGAACCCTCGTCCTGGACCACCCAACACACAGGGATTACTTATTGAATCTTTATGTGTTTAAAAGTAACACCACCTGGAGTTTACCCCGAACTTACAAGGAGTCTGGAGGCACAAAGCTGAAGCCTCCAAACTTCTTTCAAGTTAAGCTAGACTTTAGGTTTTTGTAGTTTTAAGCACATCGTGGTTCAGTGGGTAATGCACATGTCTGGGAAGATCAAGGACGTGGGTTCGATTCTCCTAGCCTACTCCATATATTTTCTCATCACTATTAATGCCTTACATTTATATAAATACATTTTGAGTTATCAGAAATTTACAAGATGTTTACTGTGACAATGTTAGTCATTGTCACAATAAACATCTTGTAAAGGTCTGATAACTCAAATATATATTTAATAAATGTAAGGCATTAATAATGATGAGAAAATATATGGAGTAGGCCGGGAGAATCGAACCCAGGTCCTGGATCATCCCAGACATGTGCATTACCCACTGGCCTGAAGAATGTTACTTAAAAAAAGAAAACAAACAAATAAGTTCACAAATAAGTTCCACAATATAAATAAGCATTTAGGATTTAAGGATCATTTATGTTGGTGTAAGAGGGATCTGGTGGTCAGGTGAGCTGCTTCTTGTCCTCGTTGTGGTGAAGCTCAATAGTGGTACAATACAATTTTATTTAGGTAAGGTACATACATACAATAAATATTTACAAGGATTGTTTGACTTATAGGTATAGCTAGTACATACAATGCCTAAAGCCACTATTACGCAAAGCGTTTCGGGCATGGTCTTGTATTATGTTCTTTGTAAAACCTCACAAACCACATGGCTTGCATATTGGAGGGTCTGGATGTAAGGCACAGTGTGAGTGCTGCAAGTTGGTATCTCACATCATCTCTGGCCACATCTGCAATTGTATATTCCAGTAGAGAGGAAAGGTAACGGAGAGGTGAGAAGTCCTTGATTGATATTGAAGACTGTAGACAGGAATCCTCTCCAGGCTCATCCCTCTTAATTCCGTGTAAGCCTCCTAGAGTTTCTTTGTACTTTCTTGATTTTCCCAATTTTTGTCAGCAAGGGCTCCACGCTGGTGCTGCATACTCCAGCACTGGTCACGGTGCATTTATTAAACGACTTTTTGAAAGTATTTAACCAAGGTTTATCTTCAAATTTCTGCGCTATATAAACTTCCTGTCTTAGTGCTTCCTTTAGATAATTACGGAATCTTATGATGACTGGTTTGTCAACTTAAACTATGCTGCTGCTGTGATATCTTCTTCTTGAGGTTATCTTGAGATGATTTCGGGGCTTTAGTGTCCCCGCGGCCCGATCTTCGACCAGACCTCCACCCCCAGGAAGCAGGCCGTGACAGCTGACTAACTCCCAGGTACCTATTTACTGCTAGGTAACAGGAGCATCAGGGTGAAAGAAACTCTGCCCCTCGTTTCTCTCCGGCGCCCGGGATCGAACCCGGGAGCACATGATCACGCGTCCAGTGTTCTGTCCGCTCAGCCACCGGCTCCTTGATGTTGCCCGTCTCTCCGGTGACACTCGGTGTTATGTTCATTCTCGTATACCTTTCTTTTACCGACATTATCAGGCTCTTCCTCTTCATTGTGAGTTGTCCTCCGATCTCCTTTCACCTTTTCGATATACTCATGGCCTTGCACTTGTTTGGATTAAAGTCTAGTAACCATATATCCAACACCTGCAATCTAAATCTTTCTGGAGAATCCTGTAGTTCCCGCGCCCTCTGATTTGCTTCATTAGCTGCGTATAGTGACACAAATGTATCTATTTCTTTCCCCAATCATTAAAATATAACAAGAACAGCATGGGGTCTGGCACCCTTCCTCGGCCTGAAACACTAAACAATTAATTTCACTTTAGCTGTAAATGAAAACTAAATATGTAAGCTTTATCCGCTTTGCTTAATCCCGAGGCTGTGTTGGCTGATAGTTAACTGTAGCCCTGGCAGTTGTCTGACAGACACGCCCGGTAAAAATACTTCCTGCTGGTTTGTGCTAAATGGTTTGGAGTTTTAGAAACTTTAAAGCGGAACGTGGTTGGAATTCCTGCGTGGTTGTGTGCAGTCGTGTATGCACTTGACGTGTGTGTGTCTGTGTACTCGTGTTTTCTTAAGAGAGTTCCAGCTCCTGGGCCTCGGTTCTTAACTTTCAGTCGAGTGGTGTGGTGGCTGCGCTACCACTGGGTGTGATTTGTCACGATTTAAAGGAATGTTTCACTTTCCTGCCCGCACACTGTGGTTTACATGTGTCCCCTCGTCCCGGTCCCATCCCTTGCGTGTCCCCCCGTCCCGGTCCCATCCCTTGGGTGTCCCCTCGTCCCGGTCTCACCCATTGCGTGTCCCCTCGTCCCGGTCCCATCCCTTGCGTGTCCCCTCGTCCCGGTCCCATCCCTTGGGTGTCCCCTCGTCCCGGTCTCACCCATTGTGTGTCCCCTCGTCCCGGTCCCATCCCTTGCGTGTCCCCTCGTCCCGGTCCCATCCCTTGTGTGTCCCCTCGTCCCGGTCCCATCCCTTGGGTGTCCCCTCGTCCCGGTCTCACCCATTGCGTGTCCCCTCGTCCCCGGTCCCATCCCTTGCGTGTCCCCTCGTCCCGGTCCATCCCTTGGTGTCCCCTCGTCCCGGTCCCATCCCTTGGTGTCCCCTCGTCCCGGTCTCACCCATTGCGTGTCCCCTCCTCCCGGTCCCATCCCTTGCGTGTCCCCCCGTCCCGGTCCCATCCCTTGGATGTCCCCTCGTCCCGGTCTCACCCATTGCGTGTCCCCTCGTCCCGGTCCCATCCCTTGGGTGTCCCCTCGTCCCGGTCTCACCCATTGCGTGTCCCCTCGTCCCGGTCCCATCCCTTGGGTGTCCCCTCGTCCCGGTCCCATCCCTTGGGTGTCCCCTCGTCCCGAGTCCCATCCCTTGGGTGTCCCCTCGTCCCGGTCCCATCCCTTGGGTGGCCCCTCGTCCCGGTCCCATCCCTTGGGTGTCCCCTCGTCCCGGTCCCATCCCTTGGGTGTCCCCTCGTCCCGGTCTCACCCATTGCGTGTCCCCTCGTCCCGGTCCCATCCCTTGGGTGTCCCCTCGTCCCAGTCCCATCCCTTGGGTGTCCCCTCGTCCCAGTCCCATACCTTGCGATCATGCAGTCTTCCAGAATTCCGAGAGCTCCCCCGTTGTCTAATGTTGCATTATTTACGTTACTGGGTTACATAACAACCCCCCCCCCCATTGACCTCTGGCTTGCCTCTCTCCCTCAGGACGACACGGTCTCGTGGGACGGAGAGCTGAGCACCGCGGCCGAGAACATCCTGCACCAGCACGCCATCCAGGGTGACCTGACGCAGCTCCAGCAGGCCATGTGCCGCTGGATGGCGGTGTCCAGGACGCACACCACCAGGAGCCTCGACCACCGCATCCTACACAGGCTTCTTCTCGCCCTACACGACCTCTGGGACACGGAGACCCTCAGCAAGGAAGAGGTTTGCTATCCCACCGACCAAGTCTAACATTAGATTGAATAACTGACGGTCGGGTTAATTGTCCAACCACTTGGGGCTGAACGGTAGAGTGACGGTCTTGCTTCATGCAGGTCGGCGTTCAATCCCCGACCGTCTAAGTGATTGGGCACCATTCCTTCTCCCCCGTTCTATCTCAAATCCTTATCCTGTCCCCCCCACCCCCCTTCCCTGTGCTATATAGTCGTAATGCCTTGGCGCTTTCTCCCTGATAGTTCCATTCCCTTTGTCATATTTGAGCCTTTAAGTTGTGGTTGTTGGTGGCTTGCACGACCGGCGGTGCTCTCGTGGGGGGGAGGGGGTTGTAGGATGACTGGGTTGTTGTTTTGAGGGGGGATTGTGAAGGCTGTTTCTGTGGGAACTGTGGCTATCGTCTTCTAGTTGTTTCTCGGGTTCTCCTGTGATTGCGACACGACAGTTCTTGTTATCTTTCTCCTCCTGTGCTTATATTTGATAACAAACATATGTTCGAGACGTTTATATTCCTACAGTGCCAGAAACACGCGTGTTTCACATGTTCTCCTGTATCATGGGTTTACTCCAGTGTCTCCTGTACTATGGGTATACTCCAGACAGTGTCTCCTGTACTATGGGTATACTCCAGACAGTGCCTCCTGTACCATGGGTTTACTCCAGACAGTGTCTCCTGTACTGTGGGTATACTCCAGACAGTGTCTCCTGTACTATGGGTTTACTCCAGTGTCTCCTGTACTATGGGTATACTCCAGACAGTGTCTCCTGTACTATGGGTATACTCCAGACAGTATCTCCTGTACTATGGGTATACTCCAGACAGTGTCTCCTGTACTATGGGTATACTCCAGACAGTATCTCCTGTACTATGGGTATACTCCAGACAGTGTCTCCTGTACTATGGGTATACTCCAGACAGTGCCTCCTGTACTATGGGTATACTCCAGACAGTGTCTCCTGGGTACTATGGGGTATACTCCAGACAGTGTCTCCAGACAGTGTACTGTATGGGTATACTCCAGACAGTGTCTCCTGTACTATGGGTTTACTCCAGACAGTGTCTCCTGTATCATGGGTTTACTCCAGACAGTGTCTCCTGTACCATGGGTATACTCCAGACAGTGTCTCCTGTACTATGGGTATACTCCAGACAGTGCCTCCTGTACTATGGGTATACTCCAGACAGTGCCTCCTGTATCATGGGTTTACTCCAGACAGTGTCTCCTGTACCATGAGTATACTCCAGGCAGTGCCTCCTGTACCATGGATTGTTTGCCCTTAGAGTACGCCTGTAACAGTCAGGGGCCAGATTCACGAAGCAGTTACGCAAGCACTTAAGAACCTGTACATCTTTTCTCAATCTTTGGCGGCTTTGTTTACAATTATTAAACAGTTAATGAGCTCCGAAGCACCAGGAGGCTGTTTATAACAATAACAACAGTTGATTGGCAAGTTTTCATGCTTGTAAACTGTTTAATAAATGTAACCAAAGCCGTCAAAGATTGAGGAAAGATGTACACGTTCGTAAGTACTCGCGTAATGCTTCGT